TGGCTTGAGATGGATAGTGTTGTTCTGAGGGCTTCTTTGTGCGGACTACATTATCAACTGTGTGAACAGGTATTCTTATGTAGGCACATTCTTCTAACAGAAGAAGTGAGCTATACGCCTATATAAATTCACATCATAGGCTTTCTTAACAGACCGGAAAACAACGCTTCTATTAAAAGCCTCAGAAAACAATAGGCGAACTGTACTTGGAGGAATGCCCATTTTAAAATCAGAAAATTTTCTAAGCAGTAGAATAGACTCAGTGAACTACCTCACTGATTTTGTTTTTAATGTTGTTTCCGTTGGGTTCAGAAATGAAGTGGAGCATACGATGTATTTAATTATCATGATGAAATGTTGGTGTCTTTACGATTATCACATGAATAATAATTTTAGTACAAATTCCTTTACTCTTATTACTCTATATGCCTGTAAGAATTTTGAAAGCCTTCCACTTGCAACCGGTCTTTGAATTTGGAAATCGTAAGGCGTTTTAAATATCTTTGTCTTTCTCGTATTATTGAAATAATGCACTAGTACAGGCGGAAGTGAATTACAGGGCTACTTGGTTGCACTCGTTAAAGTTTCAGACGAGTTTAGTTAAATAAAACTGACCTACGTGTCGAAATAAAAATATTTTTATACGGTGAAGGTTTTAATTATGATCTTAAGTAGTTTCGGTTCAAAGGAACTAAAACTTCCATTACTAATTTCTGTAATTCTTATTGTCTTCTGGATTCAGACATCTTAAGCGTATATCGGCTTCAGTGTCCAGTTAAATAAATTTATTTTATTGTTCCGAAGCATTACGAAACATTTAATGTAGCTAATGTGTAACTTTAACAATCTCCCTCCTCGACTTCTCTTGTATAATCAGGGTGTATAATCGTTTATCAGGAATGAATTCGTCAATGTTGTCGACGGAAAGTTACAACATACATGGATAAGGTAGAAATGTGCTGTACGTACTTGTAGGTAATGCACAACACACTGGGGAAATGAGTAATGTGTGTCTATAAATATTTCATTCGGAAATTTTGAATAGAAGAGACCACTTGGAAGACTGTAAAATCTAAACTGTGCGTAGGTAGATAAAGTTAAAATGGATCTTATAGAAATGTGGTGTGGGCTGGATTTTTCAGGTTGAGAATAGTGCCCAGTGAACAGAAACCTGAACCGTTGGGATCCATGGAAACGCGAGAAATTTCTTGACTTAACGACTAGTAGATTCTCCGTGTAGTTATTCCATTAATTAGTTAGTTAGTTAGATAAATAGTTAGTTAAAAGCGCATTTCACAATCACTGAACCCCCTCTTTCTTGGAATTCTTCAATTCAGTAATGTTCTGTCGTATTAAGCTAGATAATCAAACGATTAACTGATAGTATCTTCATTTTTCTACTAAAGACATTAATTAATCCTCGCCGATTAACTGATAGTATCTTTATTTTTCTACTAAAGACATTAATTAATCAACCTGGATGATGTTGTTCATTGCAAAATTGCAAAAGTGTATAAAATGTTCAAATATTATTTTGAAAATATTGATGATCCGTCCAAAATCAAAAAGAAAATTTGCATGAAAGCATTTTAAGAATGACAACAGATGGACTTCCAAAAGTATTACTAAATTATAAACGAAGGGAATATCAAAATATCAGATAACCCATTGCCAGATGGGAAGTCTGAAACAGGCCTGTAACCTACATACTTGAAAAAGAATAAAAAGAATATTTTATTTTAATTGATGTGTATTTAAGTCTCCCTAGCTATTTTGACTAATATGCAGAAATCTAAATGTAGCAATCCTCTCCCACCCTAACCCAGATAAATTATATTACTCCGATGAAGAAAGCATGTGGCAAAGAATGATTAAAACCCTGTATGTCTTATGAAGTAGTCGGATTTGTGTGCAAGTTTTTTTGGAGAAAATTTATGGATCTTATAGGTTTATAAGAAATTTAGATGATACAGGAAGGTGGTAAAGTAAACATGGGTGTATTCTCTGTTGCTACGCTGCGTAGTCTGGCAGAAGTTTGCCGACATTTCAGAGAGTGCTTGCCGCCTCCATCATCGTCCTGATGGCGAATGCAGCAAGCACCTCTGAAAAGTCTAGTAACTTTCACATATTACACGGCTTAACAACCCAGATGACAACCATTTCATACTTGCCACCATGATAATCTGAAATCTCACTTAGAATGAAAAACTGGTTATAAAAATAATAGTTCCTCTGTTGTTGTGATCTCTGGTATACAATTGTGAAATGCAGATGTATATGACTAAAATATAGTAACACTATAACAACATAAGCGTAAAAGAATAAAGATGAAAATGTAGCGTTCAAAACCCAATTATATTTTGCGAATATTCACAAATATAAGCGCATGAACTCACAATAATTTTTGAATGGCACAAAGTAAAATTTCTTCTAAGTAGAGCTAATTTTATAGGATTTTTAAAATTAATAGACGCGTATTTTGTTTTGAATCTCCGAATCACATATGGTGCACATTCTCTTAAAATGACAAAAAAAAATCGGTCTAAGCGTGACAAAATTAGGCTAATATTATGATATAAGTTAGTCTGACTTTGCCGTCTTTTCTGTTTCTAAACACGAATAAATGCTGTTGCATAGGCACCTTCGAATAGGATAAAACCAGATGTTACCGAATGTCGCAGTCTAATTATTAGCATACCTGCTTAGTTTACGTGAGGTCACGGGTTTAAGTTTTCGAACAGAAACTGGCTATTCTGGCTGAGATTTCTTGTGCGTTTTCTCAGTCCCTCCAGGAATTTACAGCTTAGTAGAGGGCTATCTCATAATAGGCAACGACCTCTTCCAGCCTTAATCTTTCTAATTCATTAAGAGTATTTATTCATCACCTAGTCATTCGATGGTAGACCTATATAATCTGAGTAATTAACAGTTTTATTTAAGAAAACATTAATAGCCAATCATAAACAAATAAATAAATAAAAGAAACCAAATGTTGGGCTTATGTTGTACACATATTTAACAGTGGATGACATTTGACACCTTTTAAGAATCCGATGCTTAGAATTATCAACGAGAAAACAGGTTACATGACAATTATTATATATTAAAAGCAGTTTTAGACGATTTTTGCTATACATTATATTCCTTACGTAGGATTTCTTCGGATTCTATGTGTTGTTAAAGACATTTACAAGCGTGTCAGTGTTTCAGAGTGGAAAACGGCCTGTGAAACGTGAAGGGAGGGCAAAATATAACAAAAGTCTATTTTTTTCATTGAGCAGTAAAAATAAATAAAAGTCTTAGACAAAGTTTCCGAAAACTCTGTGGGCTTACAGGCTGCCGGGCAGCATGTAGAAGTTGTTACACAAATCAAAGTGTTTTACCTCCAGTCAAGCTGGCAGCCATCACCGTCCAGCATCCGTCCGTTTCTCCCACTACTTCGTCTTCCTACGCTCTGCATTGGTTGGGGAAATGATGTATTCTTCATCTCTCTTCTCTTCTCAGTCCAATCTATATCCATCTCCGTCACTTACCTCCTTTCTCGGCACCCCTCTCACTGTTTCTCTTTTCCACAACCGCCATTTGCTGACTCTTGTTTCCATCGCAACATGTTCTATCCCTTACTGCATCAAAACCAATATGGAGTCTGCCCGCAATAACTAACACACAGAGAACCACGTTTCTTTATTGGTGGTGTTGACTCTACTACAAGCTTTTTGGATCACGAAGAAACCACACAAGGAAAGAAGAAAGAATAAATGATTATATACAGAAGAAAATTTGGAGAGTGTTTAAATTACTCGTCTCTTTTTAAGGAAGAGTTGTATGGTAGCACGGGAAAGTGGTTAATAAGATAACATTATCTGTTTGTTGACAACATTTTGAGAGACGATTTACAAAGTTACATCGCCTAGTGCCAGTGAGATTTATAAATTAAAAGGTTTCGACTTTTGTTTTAAAAGAGGCGCGAAGGGGGAGTCCGGTAGTTTTCGGATGATGTGCGCGGGGTGCACGAGGAGGATCGAGGGGAGTAAACCAACGTCGTCGCACTCTCGTCAACGGAGCGCCGTCGCAACACCGAGCTAACGCCGCCATCACTGCACAGCACCTTACCAAAATCCAAACTGAAACCGAATCTCCTTCAAAACACACTCACAAGTACACAAAACAATCTATTTTCTATCCACCACCGATACCAACAACTCTGAAAAAATAAACTACTTAAAAACTATTTTAACATTCAAGAACTAACCAATTCCTAGAGCTCTTCTTTGTTTGAAATTGTGTCTTCAAACCACGAACCAACCAAAACACTTCGTTTATTTCCGGATCTTGTGTTTCTCACCCACACACATTGTAGTGACATCTGTCAGACTATTTCTTTAACCCAAACTTTTTGTACTTGTTTAAGAAATGTCTCAGGCCATATCTAATAAGTAAACCTTTACAGAAAGAAGTAAACAACTGGTTTAATTTTTCACTCAAACTGAATGTAGCCTTTCCCCTTGAAAACATTTCAGCTCAAGACTGAATTAAAATCTTTTACTAGGAAAGTTTACTCATATTCGGCAATTTTTTATATTTTTCAGAGTTCGAATGAATGCTTTTAGTTGAAATGTAGTAGTTGCTTAGGCATACAGGCCCTAGTTTTATTACAGCAATATTAACTAAAGGATTATACTGTTGCCTTCTCCACCATCAATTTCTTTAAATAACCTCTGGCAATGTAGTTTAAAATATACAAATATTCCACCCCAAGTCTCGGGCTTTACCCCCATATCCATTTGTAAGGCTTATCAACCCTCTTCAACACAGCTTTTAAATATTTATGTCTTTATTGCTCTGCGCCGTCATATTATTCACAAAGACGGGTAAAAAGTTTTCTCTTCCTTCTCATTGTGAGGATCCT